CCTATGGATTAGGAACGGGATGTCACTTAAGCTCATATGTGAGTCAAGGCAGGTGAGCAAATACTTTTGGCAATATAGTGTATATATATATATATATATATATATATATAGTATTTTGTGTTTTTTTTAACTACTTAACAGCTTTTAAAATTATTAATAATTATTTAAAAATTAAAAATGGCATTCAATTACCTGATGAGGTTCTTTCCCAACCTTAAGTATAAATTTGTCCTTATTGTAAGCAAAAGAAAGTGGAGCCCTCTTTCACAGCGCTGACCAACAGTGTGCAGAGAAGGGTAGAGAGGGGACTTCACAGTGTTATTCTATGCTCCATACATTTGAAGAACATATGCTTACATTGGGAATGTCTCTAACATATCAGTAAAGGGATTTGAGACTTCAAGAATGACATGTTAGACAACTTAAATGACTGACTGCTAGTCAGAGAGGGTGTTATTAGAAAAGCTCCAAATATAGCATCAATGAATTCAAGCTTAGAACGAAAAAAGAAATCAAAAAAAGATTTGATGAGATCCAGTACAGAACATACCTAAATTAGCAGTGTCACATCATAATGTTTACATTATGATGTGACACTGCTAATACAAATACAATTGTATTCTTTGATAACATATTTCTTTGCCCTCTCTCTTTAGAAATGACACATTTTTTTGTCTGCCTGCAGATTTTTGGCCCAGTCCAGCAAATAATGAAGTTCAAAACGATTGAAGAGGTGATTGAAAGGGCCAACAACTCAGACTATGGTTTGGTTGCCGCTGTTTTCACCAGTGACATCAACAAAGCCATGACCATAACCACAGCCTTGCAGGCCGGCACTGTGTGGTGAGTTTGGTTTTCTGTAAAAAGCTCAATTTTTCATGTGGGAAAAATTAAACATTTCAGCCGTCCAGAACCTGTAAACTGACACCACACTCTAACTATTTTTACACACTCTGGGTTTTTTTTTTTTTTTTCACCCACAACTCACAGAAATGTGAGATGGAATTTGTGAGAACAAGATTCTGTGTAATCAGATGTGTATGCAGGAATTATACAATCACTTGTTGAGTTCTCTCAGGGTTGTTTGGTTTCATTTGTAATTACCTTCAGATGGTTACGAGTAATAGCAGAAGTACAGCTAACACACAGCATCTGCCAGAAATGTTTTGCTGCCTTTACCTCCGTGGTCTGGTAGCTGAACAAACATTTATATTACAACTTTGTCCTTCAGTTTTCATGTAGCATAGACTCACATAACCATTACATGTTAAACATATGTTATCAAAGTATGTATGATACCCAAAATCTACATGAAAAGATTTACTAATTTAAGAGGAAAAACTTTAATTCTGTAAATTTTACCAGCAGTAATGCGTGTTTTTTAGTATTACCTAAATTAAGTTGTCTTCATCCGAAATCATTTTAACAGTTCTTTCCCAGCCAGTTGTAACTGAACTCATTCGAGCAGCACCAGGATTATTAGATGGGGTTCAACAGGTTATAAAAACAGCCTGTAGTGATGACTGCGATATATTTCAGAGCTGTCTTCCTTAATGCAGCTTATGTTGTACTTAACTTTGAAGCTAACCATAGGAGTCAAATGCATCAGACTGATCAATGCTTTGTGTATTTCCCAGGATAAACTGCTTCAATGCTCTGAGCACACAGTGTCCGTTTGGAGGATACAAAATGTCTGGCAATGGACGTGAATTGTAAGTATAATATATATATTTTTTGCCTTCCCTATGTACGCAAGTTAGCCATAATATCTCTGAAATGGACTTTGTGTTTCAAAACAACATTTCTTCAACTCAAATAGCTCTTTAAAAAATTGTAGTATTTAATATGTTTTGCATCTGCAACAGTGTACAGTTTAAGAACAATTTTTATTTAGACCATTTAACAACGTTGTAGTTCTTACAGTCTAATCTTGACAAAGGTTGTTGGAGGCCAGAAGTTAGCATGAATTTACTATTCATTCAAACAATTTGAAAAGATAAAGATATAGATATTTCTTTAGCTTTTATAGGCTAATTCACAGCATGGAGTTAAATTGCAGCCATACTTGTTCTTGGATTTGAAGAAACGTTTCCAATGCAATGTTTGCTATTGTGAAATCATTGACAATCTATAGAAAAGAAAGCGGCATTTATTAAAAAGAAATATATATATATATATATATACAGTACTATTGCTATTGTTACATTTAAAGAAAAAGAGAGGGGCGTTAGCAGATCTGAGTGCAAAAAGACAAATACAGGGTTTTTACAATTTATTTATTTGGGAGGAACAGGTAGACTTTAAAGACAGATTGCATTATTTCTGCAAACTATTGTGTGGAGCCTGTTAATGCAATTATACCATTTACTTAATTCAAAGAAAAAAATAAACAGACAAAAAGAAAAAGGTATTTCCTGTTTTGCAGCAATTAGCTTACAAAAATAATGCGTACCCATTTAATGAAATTTAAGAGAGTAAGTATTAAAAAGGTTATTAAAAAGGTTATTTGTCTTGTATATAGTTCATGTAAACATCTGGCCTAGGAGTGTATATTATCTTGCATAATCAAAGCTATTACTGTTTCCTGTTTTAGAGGAGAAAGTGGCCTAAGGGAGTACACAGAACAGAAGACCATCACAATGAGGATGGTCTGCAAAAACTCTTAGAGGCGAACACTTCACCCAAAGGAGACCGTGTCAACTTCATCGCCACACTGTCCTCAGCAACAGACCACAACAACCGTCCAAACTAAATCTCTCTCCCTGGTTGAATTCAGGCCATATTCACCCACTGCCTGTGGTCTCTCCCATTAACTTAGCCCAGCGGTCAGCCGTTTTCCCCACAGCTATATCCATTGCGCTCATATGGTATACCTCCTCCACTAACGACACTAAAGCACTCACAGAGATGATTAGGGAGGCCTTTCTGACTGCGTGGTCCAATAACACCACCCTACCCAGCCGCTGACCCCCGACCGTTCCCCACACCAGGTGCTGGATGCTCAGAGACTCGGTCGCTGCACTTGCAATAAGCCCTTTACTAGCTACTTGTTATCTGAGGGGAGGTGGTTTTTCTTTTTGCTGTGCGGTATGATTGTCAAAAACTTATGTGTCATTTACTTTGTTAGAATTTGCAAGAGCATGCCAGCTCATTCAAGACCACTGATATTTTTTGTCAGCTTCAGCCATGAAAAGATAAAATGTTAATTCAGAATTTTAATTGAATGCTAATTGTCTTTGTTTATATATTAGCTCATATGACCTAACACTGTATGTAAACCTTTGACCTGCATTAAGATGTTAAACTCTTAAAAAGCATTTTACTCTCACTTGTTAAAAAGAAAAGCAGAGTAGATGTATTTTAAACTTTTGTAACTGATATCATTGATGTCCATCTATGTCTGTGTTTATGTTTCTACAATCATATGGTATAAAATTATAAAATGACTGTAGTTTTTTTTCAGTAAAACATTTTTTTCCTGTAAAACGAGTGAAAGTGTGTTTCATCATTTATTTAGATCTCTGTGTTAACATTTGCTCCCAAAGTCATGCTTTCTTTAATCCTTTTTTATGTAATCTGTAACATGAAACCAATATGACCAAATAACTATAAACATCATTTAAAATTTGCCACAGTGCTTTTAACCAGTATTGAAATCCCAAAAAATGTTTTTCTTTGTTGGTTTTAAATATCAAGCTTATCCGATACGTTTTAATATGAGACAAAGATGACTGGAGTAAATACAAAAAAAAGATAATAATAATATAATAATTTCAGCTAAGATGGAATAAAGCTATCCAAAACAACCTGTCTGTGAAAAGGTAATTTACCCAATGCTAAATCATGAGTTCGCTTGGATAAACATGCCACCCTGCCACAGCCAGTTCTGATAGTTGCTAGAGTGGTAGAGTTACGAAATTATTAAAATAGAGCCAATTTAACAACATTAAGTAGCATATAAATAATAATAGATTAAATACTGACACAAAGAAATTCAATAGCAGATATAATTCAAAAGCCATGCAGAAATCAGACTATATGTGAAGTTTTTACTTCACATATAGTTTGATTCTCTTTTTAAGAGTAAGAATACTATAAAAACCATCATACATATGATTTTTATAAACAGAGGATCTTCTTTTTTCCAGCTGATCTAAAACACAACCAGTTTGATCTGATCAAACCAGAGCTGCGTACCTTTGGACACAGTGCATTTAAATGTCGGATTTTTAATGGCTCAAAATGATAAACGTCATCTCACCTTTGGAGTTTGGTTTTGTTCCATCAAGAAGTTCGATTGTGATCTAAGGTGACATAGAGTTTTCCCAGCAGAGGATAGTACTGTAATGACTCAGAACAGAGGGACCTAGTATTGAAAGCAAGACAGACAGTGGGAAAACTCAAAAAGCCGAAACTGCAGACCTGAGGTTGCAGCAGCTAGGGCATCTAAGACAGGAACCTCTACAGCAGGGTTGTTAAAGTGGTTCTAGAAAGGGCCATGGGGCTGCAGGTTTTCTTTCCAACCAAGCAATAGCACACCAAACTTTATTTATTTCATCAAGTCATCAGGTTGAGATTGCACTCATTACTGGAGTCTGGTGTGGTTGAAAAGAAAACCTGCAGCCACACGGCCCTTTCTGGAACCCCTTTGACACCCCTGCTCTACAAGAGAGAAACACAGGTTAGTGACCATGGTAATCTGATGGAGGATGATTCTGAACGCGTGAGTCAGTAACCTGGTTTGACACTTTAGTCCGTGCCCAGAGAACGAGGATGATTCCAGCCTTTCGGCCGACAAGATGCAGCGGACGCAGTCAGAGAGTTCCAGATGCTGAAGCCTAGAAGGCAGCAGAGCTGACAGGAGACCCAATCTAAGCAAAATGAAGGAAGGCAGGAGCTAACTCTGAACATCCCGGACCGGTCGCCAGTCCATTGCACAGCGACAATGCTGGACCAACAGGCAAACACACCCACTAATAGCTAAAAGTGAATTAGAGACATCTGTGGCAGGAAGCTTGCCAACCAATGCATGTAGGTGTTGTGAAAACTCTATTTTTTTCTTATATTAGATGGTACCATTTTAATGTTCTGTCAATCAATCAAAGAAGTCATTGAACCCTCTTTATATTTTTCATTACACATTATCTAATATATAAGACTCTAACATAGAAATAACAATCTTGAACAACAACATGCTGCAAAAGATAAACTAGTCCTGTTTATTTCTGTGAAACTGCCCTCACATCTCAACTACAAGCCACTGCTATGAAATCTAAGTGACAGAGAAATACATTGGAAGCAGTAATAAGGCCATATTGTCAAGTGTTTCATTAACTGCACCCCATACTTGAAAGGGATTGAACCATGGCATTAAGACTGTAGTTGGATTTACTCAGAGAGGGCAGTAGAGCCTTTTTCCATTCTTTATTTGCTTTTAAATCCACAAACTAAAGGCAGTAATTTTATGAATTATTTTATTTTTTAACCTCTTTTTAATCTTTCTTAGGTGCAGGAATCAAATAAGGGTTTTTTTGTGTGAAAATGTTGTCATTAAAACATGTAGATATATCACCAAGGCCATTGCAATTGAAAGTTTTTGGTTGCAAAGTGAGAAAATGTAAAAGTGTCCTAGGGGTTAGCATACTTTTGCATATAAGTGCATCTTCAAACCACTTGAATATTGTTAGAAGATGGAAAGACTGGGCTTTAATGAAAACCCAAGTTTTAAAATAAGGTTTATTAGGCATAAAGATCAATATTATTTAGAATTCGAGTAAAAATATAAAGGCTAGATTATCATGATATCATAGGTCATTTATAACGATTCACTTAATAATCTCAGCAATATTGTACTGATAACAAAGAAAAGGTTTGAAGTTATATATTTGTTTATTTATGTTGTTCTGTCTGCCCAATCTACCTGGTAGGTAGGTTCACACAGGTAAGAAACCTATAAAATCATTTTGATCTTTTGCAATCTCAAAATTGGAGAGAAGTCAGCTTGGATGTGCCTGTACTGATGATATTTTTCTACAGTAAATTTCACACCCCCACAAAAAGGAAGTTTTTATTCTTCTGATGTTGGGTTACTTCAGACACACCATTGTGTCAGAAGACCTGTGTCAGTCATGACCTATAAAAAGGGGAAAGGGTAGTACATTTAACCTTAGAGACAGGAGGTTTCTTAATAAAAAGTCCTGGGTTTTTAATCCTTAATGTCTAGCTGAGTTGGTCTCAACTTTGGACTTCTTTGGAGCAAGTGAGAAGTGAGAGTAATTACGTCATATGACATTAGATAACACAATCCTCTTGTTTTATTTTGTGATTTAGTAAGTAAATCTTTATTAATCATGTAACTTTTACCTTTTCTCTTCTGTCAGTGTCAATGCTCAGAACAGAACAGTATTCAAAGCAGATAGACAGTATGATCTCTCTGTCAAGTCTTGGTTGAGGTTTGGACCCAAATGCAGAGGCAGAGAGGCTGAGGTGAATACTTGTAGTTTTAATGAAAAAATGGTTAACAAAGGCAGTCCAAAAATCCAACTAAAATGTAACAGACCAGAACCATGGAGACATCAAGGGAAAACACGTAGAAGAAGCCAGGGAGAGACAAGGGGAGATGATTGCAGCGATGACAGGACCAGCAACAACAGAGGACAACATGAGAACTAAAATAAATCTAGAAATTACAACAAAATAGGAATTGAACCAATAAAAACTAGAAAACAAGGAGCAAAGTAAAGCATAACATAACCAAAACCATGACACTCTCTAAATTTTTTTATTTAAAGTAACGGATCTGCAGTGAACAGCAGTATAAGTTATTGGCAGTACAATAACTTAAATTATATCATTGTACTGGGTCATCAAATCAATTCAGTTTAGTTTGTCAAATAAGCTGCCTGTAATGTCTTTAAAGGTCCAGTAGGTGGCAGTATTCTTAGAGACTGTATCAACGCAGTATCAATACCGTTTTTGCAATGTGTCATTACGCTTCAAGATGTCTCATTAACCCATCACTACAGTTCCAGGTTCGGTAAACAGGAAAATCCAGCAGGAGGCCAGAGACAGTTCAGGCAAACAGCTTAGAATGGGTAAGGGCAGGCTCAGAGGTCCACGGGTTAAGATAAGGCAATCAGAGCACAATCAAGTATGCTAGAGAACTCTCACCACGAGCTCAAATAATCTGGCACTGATGACTGGAGGAAAAATGTAGTTTAAATATAGACTGAGGAAGATGAAACAGATGAGCAATACTGGGCAGAGCTAGGCAGGTGAATGAAATGAGTAATCAGGCCAGTCATCAGCGCCAAGACCATTACAAGCAGAAGCAAAAAGACTTTGATTAAAAAAAATATATAAACCCCTGTGAGTCATTAAATAATCAAAGTGAGTGTATATATATAATTTTAATACTGTAAAAACGGCAGCAACTCGAATTTAGGGGACATTTTTTGTGCCAAATTTCCCCTGACTCTACTCTTGGAGAACCCTCACATGGTGGCACCATGAGGGACACTGTCAAATCCCATCTCCAGGTCCACAAAAAAACATGTGGACAAACTTGCATGAACCTTTAAGCACCCTGTAGCGGGTGTAGAGCTGGTCCAATTTTCTACGGCCTAGATGAAAACCAGACTGCTTCTTCTGAAGCCAAAGTTTGACAATATCCTCTCCATCACCCTGGCATAGGCCTTCCCGGGGAAGCTGTTCTGTACCCTATTAACAAAAAAGTTTATTGAGAGACTCTTCACCATTTTTTTTTTTTTTTTTAGCTTAGGAGAGATTTAGACCTGATTTCCTTTGTTTCTCTAGGCCATTGACTAATCACTTGATCAAACCATAGATCTGGTCAAGCAAACACTTAAGTTCGCACTTGCAAGTGTAGGATCTCCAAAATCTTAAAAGTTTGCAGGATTGTTATAACCAAGCTGTTTATCTAAATACCAAAAAGAACTTCTTAAAAAAATAAAAACAAATGTACCTAAAACATGTTGATTGTTGAAATGTATATTTTTGGTGGAATTCGTATGTGGAAGGGATGGGAAAACACTCTATGGAGTGAGAGCTTAAGGAAAGACATTTCTTTTCTGAAAGATGTGTTTAAAAAAATACAGAAACCAATATTAAGTGACACATGTTTGCTCAATTGTTATGACTCTCCCCTTTTGGGACTTTAAGTTTTTAGTTTTCAGTTTTCACTAAGTAATTCAGTTTTGTTGATATTTGGTTTATTTTCCATTTTGTGTTGTATCTAAGTCACTCTTTAGTTACATTCTTTTGCCGCCTTGTACCTGTCACCTTTCACTTAGCTCCCTTCTAGTCACTTCCATCCACACCTGCTCCATATCAGTTGATTATTACACCAGTCTTTATTCTGTCATCCAAATATACTCTGCATGTGCAGTTCCTCAGTGCTGGTTCCTTGTTGTTGTTAGTTGCTTCCCCATCTCTGACAC